GCTACACTCATCTTATGGGTATGTTGTTCTTGACCGACCAACATTCTGCCCCATAAAGCAAAGTTGTCTCACTATTGTGCTATAGAACTTTCCTTTCAACGTTGTTGGTACACGAGATCATATAAAACTCTAGTTATATATCTCCACTTCACCCACCCAGCTCTAATTCTATGTGCGACATTTTTCTCAATCTCTCTATTTTCCTGGATTATCGGCCCAAGATATTAAAAGTGCGTTTTTTTTTATATTTCTTGCCCGTCAATCTTAACTGCTTCTTTGTCTCTACTCCTATTATTATTAAACTTACATTATATGGGGAGTGATTTCATGCAATGGTTGTATATTAATATAATGAAACAATTTTCAAAAACCATGTTAGGGACTTTTGTTTCATCCAATTTTGAAATATACTCTCTTTTCATTCTAATGAACAATCACAAAAAGTAAAAGTTGGAAAATAGAACCTAAAAAGTATTTTTTTAGTCCAATTAACATAGGCCATCCATTTTGATAAGATGGTTAGATCTATTCCTTAGAAGGAGTTTTTTATTTCCAAATTTTTTAGATGGCTTTATTATCATTAGATAAATAATGTTAAATAATAATAATTATAATAATAATAATAATAATAATAATAATAATTTTGAATTTGTAAAGGCTAAGATCTTGAAATTCTACAAATGAATGGTCTAGATTCGTTGTTGGAGGGGACTCATTTTGACCATATCTAGTGTTCAAATTGAAACTTTGTTTTTTTGGGATTGATTATTTAGATGAAGAGAGTGTTTATGCAAAATTTTGGGTCATACAAATACCACAAACATGGTTTTCTAGAAGTGTCGATGCTTGATACTATGATACAACTGTTGTATTAGATCACTGCTCTACATTATATGTACTTTGTTTTAATCTGCATGATTTTAAAACCTTCTGGTCCTAAATCCTTTTTTATAAAGCGTTTCCTACCTTCATCATCTTCAAAGCTTCTTTTATTTTCAATTTTCTAATCATACAAATGTATCTATGATCTCCTCCCTCATTTATGTCAACAATTCGTTTAATCATTGTATTCCCATTGTATTCGTCATTTAGTAGTTGATCTCTTCATTCTTTACCAGACTATTTGATCCTCACTTTTAATGCATTTATATCCTTAAATTTTTTCTCTCATTTTTTCTAATTTAAAAATATATTTTTCACTTTTTTTTATTCCTAATTCACTATATAGATTATTATATGCCTTAAGTTTAGCCTTACTATTTGTTTAGCATTTTTCTTAGTGTTTTTATAGTCTTCTGAATTTTGACCATTTCTATTATATATTCTCAAGTTTTATAACATGATCATTTTTTGCTAATGGCACCTTGAACATCATCAATACCCCAAAGCAGCTAAAGATGCCAAAAGATATTCTTCTCCCACATGAGTAGAATGTTCATTTACTCCATCGAATAAAGCCTCGCCTAGAATTAATTTTAGGACCTCAAGTTTTGGGGATGTAAACGTTTCATCCCATAGATTAACCTTAATGATAAAAAATTATGAACTATACCCTCTATGCACTTAAAAAAATAATGTCTCAAGATTGAATAGAGATTATTCAATTTTTAGATGTCAAGATCACAATGTTAGAAAACTCAAACTTCACCTGTTTTTGCTTGACTATAATCGTCTATTTTTATGTGCTTCCCAAAATTTCAAATTGAAAACATCCTTCCAAATAGGTCTTCAGACCAAGGGAGTAGAAGCAATTTATACTCCCGAATACATGTCCATTAAAGACCTTTTCAATCTGTATCTTACATGTTGGCCGGTAGTATTTCCTTTATATTCCTTTTACGGGTAAACAACATAAACCACATTAGACTGAGTTCGATCAACATGCTCTCTTTTGATATTTTATCATCTTAAGTTATTGAAATTTGGAAATTTATCGATGTATAGATAACTTATCAATTGTGTAATACTTTACCTATTTTCATCTATTCCATCTCATGATTTTGATGGGCTTTTCAAAATAAAATAAGAAATGGTTAAAATGTTATCTCATGATTTTGATGGGCTTTTCAAAATAACATAAGAAATGGTTAAAATGTTAAATAGTTCATCTTTTAAGTTCATACTGATAAATTTTTCCTTTAATAGTAGAAAATTAAAACACTATAGTTAGGGGTTGTAAACTGTGAGACCATTTATCTTTGTTACAAGGAGGTCACAATTTGCTATTAACCATTAGGTATCAAATTTTTCTTTTCATACTTTGAATCTAGTCAATGATACACTCACAACCATCCAATTTAAAATCTGATGGACAAGAATGATTGTGGCTCCTTATTCTAAAAGTAAATGGGCTCTTTGCATATTTTTCCTTACAATTACGTGCTAGAAAAGAGAAAACTTTATTATAATTGCATAAGGGTCAGGTGTGCATTTTCTTAAATGGGATCCAAACCTTAGGTGTTGTTTTGTAACTATGTGCCCCAGGCATGGAGCTGATATAACGATAATATTGTATACTATGATATCATTTATCTTGGTTACAATGAGGACAATAATTAAGGTCAAGTTAAGAGGCCACTCTTAAGAAATAATAAAAAAACTTAATTTCACGAGAATGGGGCTGAGGTCATGATGCCAGTACAAACCCAGTTAAAGGTAACGGTTTCCATTATTACTGATACTTAAAAAAAAAAAAAAAAAAAACTCAATTTCAATTTGAAGAAACTCAGAGTAAACTCAAGTCACACACTAATCATGGTTTATAGATGAAAACATCAGATTTGAAAATGTTTTCACTAGAAATATTTTACTGTGTTATCACATAAAATAGCATGACAGAGTGGTAGGAGGGGAGTGTTGTCACATAAAATAGCATCGATAGTTTTTCTTTCCTTTTTTTTTTTTGTCTTTATGGGGGGGGGGGGGGGATGTATTTGTGAAGTTTCAAGATCTGGAGGGCAGGGGCCTGGATTTCAGGCTAACTTTGATAGCATGCATCTGTACATTTCATAAAGCATCTAACAAAATGAGGTATATGTGATGCCTCAAAGTTGCAGGGACAAATAGTATTACCAAATCCAAAAGATGTTATACTCCCTCAGCGGCAGTCTGTCTCTTTACTCCCTCTTGTAAAATGCCCCCTAGAATCAATTCTAGTAACCCAATTTTTGGGATGTAAGATCTTCAATCATAGATTACCCTTAATAAAAAGAATTTCTTAATTCACTTAAAAAACAGACAGTGTCTCAAAGATTGAATAGAGGCCGTCCAATTAAGAGCCTGAGATCTAAGTGTTAGAGAACTAAAAATTCAATTTTTTTTTTTTTAAAATAATCATTTAGCCATCCTTAGGTGGTTCTCAAAATTGTAGATTGAAAAAACATCCCAAGTAGGTCCGATGGAGTAGATATACATTATGTCCATCATGAGTATAATATATGCGCTCATAAAAGGATTCTATGATCCTAAATTACTAAAGACTAACCCCCAGTACTTGACACTAGTTTGGCAGCAAAATGCTTTTAAGTCAATCTGCAATTCTACTTCAAAAAATGCACTTTGCAGCTGGTGTGAAAAGCTTATATTTTCGTTCTCAAGAACACTAAACTTTACTTTGATGGCAACTAGTCGATGAAATCCAGAGGTGGCTAGATAGGGGGTGCTCGAAGAGATCGTGAAGGTAACTTAATTATGGACATTTCAGGACCTTTGGCTAACTGCTCTGTGAATGAGGCAGAGTGCTGAGTGATTCTAGTTCGAGTTGGAAGCAAAAATCGATGAAGAATTTTCAAGAAATGCTAACAACTTGGTCCTCTGTTATTTGAATAAATGCTATCGACTTGGTCACTGGTAACTGACGACGTCAATAGACTCTTCAACCAATCATCTATGAGATAAGAGACACTCGAATCGTAAAGGAGGTACTGTTCAAATATATGCAGAAAAACTCTGAACAGTGGACTTCTAAGGCAATGAGGGAATACAAAGATTTTTTTTCACAATCACAATGTTCTAAATGCTATAGCTTCGACCCTTTAGGGGAGGACAATGTTGTGAAATTCCCAATTAATTGTGAATCAATTTTGTAGGTATAAACATTATCCAAAAAGAGAATTAGTTTGTTCTTTTGTCGAGCATCCATTGATTTCAATACCAGTCTTACCACACGGTTGAGGGACAGTAATGCCATCCAATACATATTGCAAAGACTCTTCGAGCATGAGCTCTTTGTATACAGTGTGGTAGCCTCAAGGATCCTCAAGTGGTTGGTCTGCCATGACCTAACACTATCAAGCCAACATAAAGAATGCCACTATTTATCCGTTTTACAATTGATATGGAAAGAGACCAGCCACAAGCATTTCATTTCAAAAACATGAACAAGAAACATAATTGCGTTAACAATACTCACTGGCACCTGCCCTAAGACTGAAGGGTTTGTTATTGAAATGCAACAGCTCAGGATTTTAAGGGCCCCCTCGTAAAACTAAATAAAAACTCAATTATCATGGGAAAAGAAAAGAAGATAATCTAGATCACCCAATCGAGTACCATGGCTGGAAGGGCAGATTGAATATGACCGATCTTGAGTCTTACAGCTGGCAATGCATGTTCGTATTTTGTTTAAGCATTCTAAAGTCTGATCAATCACAAAAATCAGGTGCGCCCATCTTGCCTAAGTGCAAACGAAAAAGTAGAAAATACACCATCTGCCAGAATATGCCTACCATGTATTTTGTATCTAGGTCCCCCATCATCTCGCAAATCTGAGCTGTCTAACCTATGTTATTCCATGCCACACCTGCGTCGGGGCTCACGATATCCCGATCCAATTCTCTTTGGAGAATTAGATGGTTTGCGCAAACCTTACACTGTAATGTCGATGTAAGTGCCCCAACTACTTCTTTTGAATGCTAATTGTGGCCCGATAAAAACGGAACTCAAGATATCACAATGTAGCACCCACCTATTCCTAAACCTCCATGGTGAGAACAAGCAAATAAGTTACACAAAGTAAATTAAATTAGTTATATAGTCAAACATTCCCTTATAATAATATATCCAAAAGGTTCATCGCCCCAATAAAAGACCACACCCTTTTAGAACCAATGGGGCCATTGCATTCACTCGTTAGAAACACCCCCACTCAAAACCTTAAATAAGTTCACAAACAAGTTGCCCTCCTGCAAAAAGGGGTCATACTGATCTGAAACAATTTGCCAAGTGGAATTTCTTGATGACTTCCCAGTGGCAAAATATGATAAGGTGCCAAGTCATCATAGTGTCCATTGTCTCCCTGTTTCTACCTTTTTCTTTTCTTTCCTCCTTTCCACTCTAAGGCTTTAATCTAGAATTCATCCAATCAATTATATCCTTGGTGATTTCATCTCTTTCAGGTTCAAATAGCAAATCATGAAGAAATCCTTCGTAAAGTTTGATGGATTTGACAGTAGAGGAAGCTTCCTCGTACAATTCTCGGGACGCTTCTGGGTCCGTCACTGTGTCAGCCGTACCATGGAGTACAAAAAATGGAACCCTAATTTTTCTTAGGTTCTGTTGTAAATACGATGATATGCGCAGTATTTCAGTGCCAGTCCTAACTCTTATTGAGCCAGTATAAACTAATGGGTCTGAATACTTAGCTACAAGAGCTTCAGGGTCACGGGAGACAGGGAGTCCTTGCTTGTTAGCAGCGCTGAACTGGTACTTTGGCACCAGAAATGAGAAGATTGGCGCAATTATCTGTCATCAAGAAGGAAAACGTAAGTCCTGCATAAAAGTGCAAGCATGTATTCATGAATGTGTATAAGTATGAAAATGTTTATTCAAGAATATAAGATTTAGGCATACGTGCATCTATACAGATGATATACATATGCGTGATGGACGTGCATGTACACATGTCTATGTGTCTTTGTGTATATCAGGGTGTACAAGAATGTCTGTGTATATCCATACACACGGTTCAAAAAGAAATGGTGACCCAAGATTCCCAAGTCGACAAGCCTTGAAACATGACAGAGAGAGAACTACGGGCAAGATGCTCCCAATTTTCACAAGAACCAGGTGAGTCTTAAAAGAGTAAACCCAGAAACATGACTCTGTTTTTTTTTTTTTTGAATTGTTCCTACAAAACGTGCGCGTATCAAGACATTGTTGTAGATGCATGTGTAGCATTTTATGGGTACTGCACGAGCAACATTTGGCAATGTAACTACAAAGGAAAACTGCATACACAGATTGGAAAGTATATCCTACGAATAAGACGAGTGAAGATGAACTAGGTGAGTGTCTTATTTAAGGGAACGGACAGTTTATGTGCCACTGATGTACCCTTGGTGTATGGTATACTTTCCCTCAAGGTTTGAAAACTCATCTCGAGCTCTGGACTTGGGCCCCTGCACAAACTGAGTTTTTCAGGCGAGTCCAAGTAGTATAGGGGCCCAAAAGGGCTGAAAATCACTACAAATATATAATTCCAATATGAAAACTATATAAAAGAGAGGATTTAGTATAAATTGATTTATAGCCAGAAACATTTTAGAAAATACAATAAAAGAGGCAATATGAAAATAGGGGATATCAAAATAAATCCAATAAATCATCATCAGAAACATCATTAAAAAAATATTTATATATATTTCCACAAAAAATATATAATTGTTGTATGGTTTGTGATTTTTAATTTTTTTTCCGAGTTTGTACCCGAGTACTTGAGTCCCCAAGGCAAAGTTTGAGTGGACTTGGCTGAGTTTACAAACATAGATTTCCCCACATAGATAGCTAGATATGTGAGACATTTATACATGTGTACTTTATGCATATATGATCAGGTATCTGTGTTGGGAACATAAATTGATGAATATAACATTAAAAAAAAAATTCTTTACCCCAAAAATAGGATGAGAAGGCTGAACTCTTATCGCAGGAGATGTCAATATCACTGCTTCTACAAGGCCTTCAATGTTTGGGTCCAATACTGCCTTCACACGTTCATAGAGACAGAACATTCAAAATAAATATATATACTCATAGAAACACAGAAGTTTCTCATAAATGGATAATAGATCATGGACGCTTGAAAACCAACCATCACTCAAAGTTCAAATTTCAAATTGGGAAAGTATACCAGACTAGGTTCATGGACGTAGGACGGTATGCTTTCACTTTCCAATTAGCACAACATATATCTTACCTTCAAAACTATGGCTGCACCAGTTGAATGGCCAAAGCAGAAGCAAGGAAGCCCAGGATTTTCAGCCAGTATGCTCAATAGATAACCTTTCTGCACATTAAAGAATGCCAAATCATCAGTGAAAATACGAAGACAATGTTGGGTCATTTGCATTTGGTTTCTTTCAAAAATATTCAATTGTGTGAAGAGATAATGCCACTGCATACCATGTCGGTAACAGCATAATCTAGGGATGGAACATATCCATGCAGCCCATCACTTCCACCATGTCCTATGCAACAGCAAAGAAACCAAAATAATTCAATACATCAATTGCAAAAAAGAGTAAGAGAAAGAAGCAACATCCAGTAAGGCAAAAAAAAAAAAAACAAGAAGTCAGAAATTGAAATTGGCATTCATCACAGCCAGAACTAATAGTAATTAGGTAATGAAGTACCTACACCGCTAATCCCTTGCAAAACCAAGAGTATAGATGTAAAATCTTCTTTAACTAGGCTGCATCACCAGCCATCTTCATATCATATTTGACAAGTTGCAACCAATTTTTAGAAGGAAAAGCATCCCATTATCCAATGAATCATGGTATGGCATACCTTAAACGCAAATGGGCACCACCGTCCATTTGGAGATTAACCATTTGCATGGGGATGCGGTGGGTTTATATATATATATATTGTTGTTTTTAGATTTTATGTGTAGGGTTATTTTTTTCATTTGTTCCTTGTAGAGATCTAAGGGCCAAATTAGGACGTTTTCTATAGTAGTTAGTTAAGATGTATTTTGTTGTAGACAAGGGAAACCTAGTTTTAGGCTATTTTGTTGACTTAGAGATTTTGTTAGGAAGAAATTAATGTGAGATTGGGAAAGGGGAGATATACTAAGATTAGGAGAGGGAAAAATGTGGGGTAAAGAGAGAAAGGACGTGGGGAGAGAATATTTTTGGGGTTTTATTTTATTTTATTCTCCTTTTTTTTAGTTTGTATTTAAAAGGGAAACATATCCTTGTTATAGAAGATGGTGAATGGAGTAAAAGTAAGAGTTTTATTTGATCTTGTGAAGATACCTTTGGGGTGGACTCTTTTACAGAACCTAAGAGGGTATAATCTCATATCTTTAATTTTTTAATTTTTTTATTTAATATTGTTCTCCCTCCATCACAAGGCATGTTGGGACATTCACCCAGGTATAAGTTATCTCCAATATACATCATCATGTCAAATGGTGGATTAGCCCTCTGGAGAACTGTAAGACATACTCCTTGGATTTATGGCAAATTGCAATGCCAATGCCTCTTTCTTATTAAATCGAACATCAGGTTAAAAGGAAAAGACCACTGACAAATGTATTGATAATTGCATACTAGAGGAAAGACAAAAACAATTCCCAAAGCCAAACTGAATTCAGAAATTCAGTGAAATTTGACATATCTTTGACATACAGGTGCATTGAGGATCCACACATACATTACTAACCCTTCAGATTAATGGAGCTGCATAGAATAAAGACTTAAAATAGTTGGAGACTAACATACCAATCCAATCCATCCCATACACTTTGTAACCATTGGCATTCAATTCTTTCGCAAAACGGTCGTACCGTCCACTGCATTCACAACACCAATATCATATATAGCCTCAAGTTGAATAATAAAATCACTCTGACTTGCCAAAGCATCAGTCACTGAATCAGATGGTTACCTATGCTCATTTAGTCCATGCAGAAGAAGTACCAGTCCCCTGAGGAAATAAAAAAGGAAAGAGAGTTATTTGTTTTTGCCAAATAACACTAATGGAAAATTGGATTATTTTCCAACGAAATCAATAACTAGAATGAGGAAAAGCAATTGGATATTTTCACTTCCTATCACTTTTGCCTAGAGAAAGTCCCATGACTTCAGATTCTATATACAAATCCAAAGAAAAAATGCATACTGACAAAATGTGGGAGGGGATGAAACATTTTGATCCTTAAGTGTCCCAGAATCAAAGAACAAAGGAGTGGATTCTCGTGCTTTCACTACATGCAGTTTAAACACATTTTCTAAATATATACATTTGATTGCCTATCAACACAAACATTTGAAATCCTGAACTATAATGAATTGGAAGTTACCAATATTTGAAAGGACAGAATCTCTGCTAATATTCAATATCACAAAACAACTCTAAGGCACATAGTTCATATTTATATTTGAAGAATTCAAATATTTATTTATATGACCCTCAACACAAATGTGAATAAAGGTCACACTATCACAAAGCTGCAGAGATTTAGCTAGATAAAAATAGTTTAATTCAGAAAATAGGAACTTTTATGTGAAGGTATAGATGGAATTACAGAATAGATGTGCAAAGCCTCATGACAAGCATTTATTTTTTTAGATCCTTCGGCATATATGAAAAGTAAATCTTCGAACTATAAGATACACAAGAAAAATGCTAATGGAGTACCATAGCTATTTCAATGTTTTCTGAGGGCAAAGGTAAAGGCTCTAAGTAACCAGACTAACATTGGCGATACACAACATTCTAAAACTACTTTGAAATGTGCAAATTGTAATTGTTCAGGGACGGATGGATGCTGCACCCACCCCTAGATGAGGAAGGATAACCCCTTGGCAAGTCATGAGTCTCCTCATGGATTGCATCATTAAGTATCCTCAAAGCAAACCTGTATCATGTATTCAAAACCACTCTTTTGAAATTCAGATAAACAAAAAACATTAAAGAACAAACCAATTAAACAATATTATAAGAAAAAATGCAAACTTAACAGCTAAAGCTCCAAAAACATGTCAATGTCAAAAATTGGCAAAGAACAATGAATAGAATAAGTAGAAGCTAATTTGGCATTCCACCTATTTCAAAGAATCTTACAGGTGAAATTTGTAGAAAAGAGAACTGCATTGACATCAATTCAACCTATAACAGGACTCAAGTCAATGAACATGTGGATTCAAAGTCAATGCAAACTAATTGTTTTTAGAACCCTAATATGCTCAATTTGTTTTGTATATTATTGTCCCAAACAAATCTCTCCCTTCCTCTCACAAATAAATGTGGAAAGTATTCCATAGGCCGTGTACCTACACTGTAGCCTTTTTCTGAAGGAGCTAAGGGGGATAGGTTTGACCCCAACACTCCCAAATCACCATTATTGATCTCTGTGACTGACCTTAAAGCGGAAATTGATTAGAACTCAAAAAATGCTCCATCTCAGTTTCCACTCCAAGGACAACTCTGGAGCATGCATTTTTCAGACAGTTAAGACCTTGGGTTCTAAGAGCATAAAATATTTTTCTTTTTTTCCTTTCTTCATGGAAATTGATCACAAGGTTAATCAAACATGTTTTGAATAGCCATTTGGCATTTTGGCCTATATTCCAGTGATATGCCATTTGGTCCATGTAATCTTTTTCCATATATATATACATATATATGAGTTTTTCTTTTTCTTGGTCCAGATGTGTTAAGTAGATTATAAATGCTCCTAAGTAACTACTATATCAGGCTTATTGAATATCACATGTTTTTTTCATGATAAAATTAGTTCCCCATAAATACTTTGATATAATCCCAAGAAGTTGAAAGCATGGCAGTTTTTTGGGTTCTCTGTTATTAATGCGGTATAAATTTATAGTTAACATCAGAACCAACTCATCGTCATCATCCAAAACTTATCCCTATTATTTGGGGTCGGCTTAACATCAGAATCAAATCAAAGATGAAAAACCATGAATATTTTATTACTAGATATTAGGTGACTTTAAGGTTGTATTTAAATTTCAGATACATACATAAAAAATGCCTATTAACTACTTATCTAAACAGGAGGAGACAATGCATTAAAGTCAAAGATAAAAATGAGTAGATCACTCCAATTGATAAGTTACCCGGAAAGGAATAAACACAACGTTTTATTAGATTTAAGCTTAGAACATGCGAGGACCTATGCCAAGGTTTGAGCATGATTCCCTGCAACAGACATTGTTCCCTTGTATGACCAATTCCTCATGAAATTGATTTTCTTTTTACATATCATAGGGGTGGCAATGGGTTGGTATGGGTGGGATCCGGCTGGACCTAGACCTGGACCCGGACCCAGACCCAGACCCAAACCCGAATGTATTTGGGTTCGGGTTTTCAACCCGGACCCAACTCTTCGGGTCCAAAAGTTTGACCTATACCCGTACCTGTCAGGTCCCGGGTCTGGTTAGGTCCATTACCACCCTCACTATGAGCTTCCTTTTTTGTAGCCTACAATGGTGAAAAACAGAGTACTAATTTTTTAGGGGTAGGCGATTAGAGAGAAAGAGAGAGACATTTGAGATCCAGAGAGAAAGCTACATCTCCAAGAATCTAAGAGAGGGAATTGCAAAGAGGGAGGATGGCGATGGGGTTTGGCCGTTTGGGGAACCAGGGGAAGACGAAAAGTATTGAAACGATTTTAGGGTTGGGAGTTTGGCCTTTGGGTAAACAAAAAATTCAAATTCGGGTACCCACCGGGTCGGGTATAGCAGGACCCATACCCGGACCCGGGACTATCCGAGTATCCTTTATTGGACCCAGACCCTACCTGCTCCAAAACTTGGACCCATACCCGGACCCGTGTCGGGTATACCTGGCGGGTATGGGTCAGGCATGGGTCGGGTCCGGGTCCATTGCCACCTAACATATCATAAGTATCAAATCATGAATTTCCAAAAAGGTGAACTCCATGAAAAACTTTTGCCCATGATAATGATCTTCTAATTTGGAATAATTGAAATTCACCTTTTGCCTTGTTCAAATAAAAACATTACTTCATATAACATAATATATTAACTCACTGTATTAAACTCCACGTAAAATCCATTACATTCCTGATAAAAAGAGCTTAACCCATAATACTACAACAAAATCCTGTTAGATAATAAACCGATAACAATGTTCATTACTAAGATTTTAACATGAATCAAAGGGCAATAAATTGGAACCGATGGCACCGACTTGCCTTGGTTACCTACCCCAATAATTATAACTTAAATATACTTCAATTTTTCCAAGGTTTGAGCATGATTCTGTACAACAGACATTGTTTCCTTGTATGAACAATTCCTCAAGATATTGATTTTCTTTTTACATATCATAAGTATCAAATAATGAATTTTCAAAAAGGAGAACTCCATGGAAAAATTATGCCCATGATAATGACCTTCTAATTTGGAATAATTGAAATTCACCTTTGTCCTTGTTCAAATGAAAAGATTACTTCATATAACATAATAGATTAACTCACTATATTAAACTCCGCGTATAATCCATTACATTCCTGATAAAAAGAGCTTAACCCATAACACCACAACAAAATCCTGTTAGATAATAAACCAATAACAATGTTCATTACTAAGATTTTAACATGATTCAAAGGGCCATAAATTGGAACCGATGGCACCATCTTGCCTTGGTTACCTACCCCACTAATTATAACTTAAATATACTTCAATGTTTCCAAGGTTTGAGCATGATTCTGTACAACAGACATTGTTTCCTTGTAGGACCAATTCCTCAAGATATTGATTTTCTTTTTACATATCATAAGTATCAAATAATGAATTTTCAAAAAGGAGAACTCCATGGAAAAATTATGCCCATGATAATGACCTTCTAATTTGGAATAATTGAAATTCACCTTTGGCCTTGTTCAAATGAAAAGATTACTTCATATAACATAATATATTAACTCACTATATTAAACTCCACGTATAATCCATTACATTCCTGATAAAAAGAGCTTAACCCATAATACCACAACAAAATCCTGTTAGATAAAAAACCAATAACAATGTTCATTACTAAGATTTTAACATGATTCAAAGGGCCATAAATTGGAACCGATGGCACCAACTTGCCTTGGTTACCTACCCCACTAATTATAACTTAAATACACTTCAATTTTTTGTTCATTACTAAGATTTTAACATGAATCGAAGGGCAATAAATTGGAATCGATGGCACCAACTTGGCTTGGTTACCTACCCCGCTAATTATAACTTAAATATACTTCAATTTTTTGGTGTAAAATTTCTTCAAGACGTCATATTTCTTAGATATGATCAAAAACTTGTCCGAGATGGGTATGTGTGTGCGATTGCATCAGCTGGAGGAGAGCCACGGCCTACATTATGTTATTTATGAGATAAGGTAACCCGAGGCAGGAAACTCGTACTAAAAAGAGTTTCATTGTGAAGCATTTTAAAAACTTGCTTCAGCCTTTTGTAAACATTTTAATCACTTTTTTAGTTAATTTTATTTTCCAACCATCAGTTAAGAGATGGATTAACCACTAATGAGAATGAAATACAAAAGTAAACCACCAAAAAGAAAGGCAACACAGAACAACATAAGCTGGTTCGATAAAATCCATATAAAACTTAGCAGTTCATCACTAGAGACGGATATAGCACATACAAGGAATATACTGACAGATTGGTAACGAAATAAGAGGCCATCTGTCCATGAGGAGGAGCCCCAAAATATAATAATAATTTTCCTAGGGTGCCGCTCTCCCTCGAGGTGCACGTTACTGCCATTGTTCTGAAAACCCAACAAAGTGGCAGCTTTTGTCTCACACTCTTTTGATCTTTTCAATATGAGAATATTCACGCCCTGTGATCTTTTTCCTGCATTCCTAGTAAGGGCACATACTATCTGCGAGCCATTAAATATGGAAAAGAATGGAATTATTGCTTATATTCCCTGATGCAATACAGCCAAACTTCTTAGCAGACAACAATAGGTCTTGGGAAATTAACCTTCAATTATTGGGTCCACTACCCTATACATTAAAAATTCAAGCATAAATAAACTAAGGGACCAGCCAATTAATTATTCTTGAATTCAGAAGTTCAGAAGAAAATAGGAACAAACAATTTAAATTCAAATGTGGGAAAGGGGCTGGATCGAGGTGGCGGCACCCCCACACCTAGTTATAATTCAAATGTGTTTTCATTCCCGCTGGCCCCACCCGACGGACCCTTCAAAATAACTAACTCTTAAACTATTTGAAAAATCAGGTAGCTTCATGTCTTCCCCACCTAATTACCCAAAAAAAAAAAAAAATATTCAAATGTGTTTGCAAACCTATTGCTTTTGAATGGGTGTGGGATTTCTAATTTGTTCGGATTTCATGAGGAAGAGCAAAGAAAGTCCCCATCTTTTAGAAATGGCTACTATATCCCCATATCCAAACGCCTATTAGGGATCTCGTTACAATGAGCACGCTAAATTATTCCAAATAAAGAACGGGAAGATTTTAAAAAACATATCATGACCCCCTATATATTGTACTAAATGATTTCTGGGAATTTATCAAAATGCCATACATGTACTCTGATAAATTTTAAACCCTAATTTGATGTGTGGTTTGATGCGATATTTGAAACTCGATCAAAAGAACATGGACCACTTGAAATTAGATCATGAAATATGAGAATGATAAAAAGGTAAAATTTTAAGGTGAAGTTTGATAAATTTCCCATGATTTACATTCAGGCTACAACCTACAACATGACTACTATAACCATACGTAGAGAGACATGATTATGAAGGAAGAACTATTTTGCCATTTGCAATTGCGTCTATGAGATTGCAGGGTTTCAGTCTAAGGAGTTGCATATTGTAAGAATACCATTTATTGTACCAGGTCCCAATCACCTTTTAGACATTAGATGTAAACCGCTTGGGTGTCCCAGGCCGATTATACATCAATAACATTTGTTAAAAAATTTCGGAAAGTAAATAATGGTTTTATATACGTACTAAGAATTTTCCAAAATGCATCTAAAAATTAGGTCACGAAGTGGAGACGCATATGTACCTAGGAGTCCTAGAACTCATAAAAGCCAGGGGCCATCATGAAATACTATCCTGCCCTTCAATTTTCATGGGAAAAGTTTACATAGAACCGAGGTTCTAAACAATCAAGTTTGAGCTTACTTAAAAACTTTCAAAGAGGTTGTTTTGATGTTCAAATATCTTCAAATTGATCATCTCGAAAAAAATAAAATTCAAGTTTTGAAAATAATATAATTTTAAACTCATTTTTGGACCGTCAATTTTCAAAATTTTGACGTTCTCATATTTTTGAAGTTTTAAACGTCATAAATAAAAATAAAAATATAATTTAAGGTTATCACCAAAGATTTTCAATATTAAAAATACATTTCTCGATACTATTTAAAGTAGGCTCTAATTTGATTGTTTAGAGCCTGGTCGCACTCAATTTTCATACCTCTTGCTTTATCCAGCAAAGTGGCACCTTGTCGTTTCCACGTGTCGGATACGGATTGCTTACGCAGTAGCAAGAGCTACCTCTTCTAAACACGTGCCCCGCGACTCGACGTCACGCCCACACGCACCGCGACTCTCTTGAAAGATCAGTAATGGAATCCAGACATCTATTAATCGACGGGCCAGATTTCAAGAACCAAGTCCCTCGCGAAATCTCAGCCGTGCACTAGCTAAAGAACTAAAATCGGGACCGTTCATCCGAAGAACGGTTTACTCTGTGCCCCATGTCCGAATTAACCGTTCAAAACCACCATGATAAACCAGAGCAGTTTGTATACAAAGCAAACCGTCGAAACTCTGTGTTACAGAGAGAAAACCCTAAAACGTACGCTAATGGGAGAATCAAGGTGAACCAGAGCAATACAAAAGTCACAGAGATGAACAAAAAAAATGAGACGGAGAAATGTAAGCACAGAAAAACACCTAGAGCTACATATTAAAGAAAAAATGAATTGAATCACAAAACAATAGATAGAATCAATGAATGTGGTGGAGAAAAAGTTCGTAATTACACAGTGGATTAATCTAGCTATAGATATAGAACAAATCCTAAGAGTAAATATTCCAGAGGCAAAATTCATTAAGAATCAGAGAGCTGGTAATATAAACAATATAAACAGGTGATAAAAAGAAACAAATGGTTGAAAAAAGGGAAGAATTACCCAAACTCACTTTATCTCCAGGCCAATTGGCATCCACCACCTCGTGAAAAGAGTATCCCCTCTCATTGTATCAAATATAGAGAAACCCCTCTCTGTTTCCCCGTCACAAGATTCAGCAAACTGCCTTATAGCCATTGATCGCCGAATTCCAGCTTCTTTCACTTTTTCTGGCAAATTAGTGGCGGGGATCTTCTCCTCCTTTGATTTTTCCGGAGATCCTTTGCCGGAAAAGCACCTCGCCTCTGGTCTTCGCCTAAAGGGAAGCAAAAGTAACAGCAAAAGGCCATTTAAGAGCAAAGCAAGGCTCCGTAATGCCCTCAATGAGATTAGGGCACTGACCCGAGTGCTCGCTCCAGAGGTTAGGAGGAGAGGAGAAGAGAGGACTGGTTTTGAGTCCATTTTTTCCGGGGACAAAACCGGGTTAAATTTCAGTTTTTTGACCGGAAAACTGCTCCTTTTTCTTTTCCGGCTAACTTTCACGGCATTGAATGTGACATTAGGGACGGTAATGGGACCTGATCTAAAGCAGATCATAAAAAATAGCTAAAAATGTCTCTAATGACAAAAAAAAAATTGCCTGCCGTGCTAACTACTAAAGGGAGGTTTCAGATTTTTGAAATGGCGAAAATCAAAGATTTTTGTCTTACGTAGCTCTAAAAATGGCCAAAATTTTCTAGCTTCTGCATATAATTTGGCCTTGGATAACGAAAATGCAGGAGAAACTAAGAGAATGAGCTGAAGAAAAATGTATGGTGATTTCAAAAGGCGAAAAATTTAGCTCCTGCTAAAATAAGAAAAAGAATTCAGCTTCTGCTAAAATCAAATGGATGATATTTTAGAGCTTCGTCCCGTGAAAAATGGAGTCCTTCGCCAAAATTCTAGGGTTTCTTCCTTCGAGAAATACACAGAGTGACAATTTCGTGGCTAAATTTGAAGAATGGAGCTGCCAAAAATGGCGACGTCCCATTAAAGGCCGATTGTAGGTTCCTCTATTTTGGACAACGCAGAAGGTTTCGTCCCGTCTGGAACAACAATGGACGGATCTAAATTCGACACGTGTCTGGCGAGGATTAAGCCTAATTGATATACACAAGTGTGACACATTCGAGCGCGCTTTAGAAAAGGTCTATGCGCGGCGCCTCGGGCCATAAGTTTGCGGGGGACATGTCCTGGTGAATTGTTTAAATTCCATCGAAGTACTTACATTGCACGATGACGACGAAAACAAATTCATGGCGCGACCACGGTTTAGAAATGCCGATTCGGATTGGAGCCGGTGGGCTTCGGCTGAGGTCGTTTCGGTTGGAGTTTGTTAGAACAGGCCCACTTTTTATTTTTATTTTTCTTTGTTCACCAACTTTTTCTGATTTTTTATTTTTTTTTAGAGAAAAAAAACGGTAAGGGATTTGGGAAATATTTCTTGTGAGGGAAGGAATTTTTTGTTACATTACTCGATCGAATCATCGATCAAGACCGTTAATTGGACAAACTGGACAAGTTTTCTGCGTAGACAATCTAAGTCACCGACCTGTTTTTTAAACCTTGGGCGTTATCATAGTTTAAAAGAATGATGGTCTAAATCAAAATTATTGAATCTAGATCGCTAATTGGTGAGACAGGTCCAGTTCCCACCAAATATCGAGAACCAGCAATTCCCACTTGAGAAACAGTAATAATTTTGTTACAACCACCCAATTAAAGGTGGTTCCGTCAAAGAACCAGCCCCACCTTTTATTTTTTATTTTTTATTTTTTATTTTTTTTCACTTTTTTCTCTAATTTTATTATGTATTTTATTGACCGGTTCACTCAGCCGGGATCGTCATACAATAGGTAATTTGGGTCACCAATTCAGACTCAAGAATCGGGTTTGGGCTTCAGGAGTTGATATTAGCAACGGTCGATACCTGCTACCCAAACAAAAATATTAAAGAACTCTGTGTGTATAATATATTGTATTATGTAACTAGTCTACAATATTATGTTGTCCTATCCATCAGGAAATCTTATACATTTCCAATGCGATAGATATCGTTCCAAGGCGTTGGTATTCATCAATATTTTTAAAAATTGTTGATCGTATTTGAAATTGCTGAAGAGTCATATTGGGACTGGGATATGGGCCATTCCGTTTAGGAAACCTCAGAATTGTCATGATTCTCCCAGTTTTTTATTTTTTTTTATATTCTCTCACAAAAATCCCTTGTAAAAACCAAGTGCTTCAAGATAAAATCTTTGGTAATTCATTGGCCATTATGGTTCTTAGATCATCATCATCATAGCATTTTTTCAGAGGTCGGCTACACAAATTTTAGTCCGTCGTTCTGATTTTTAGATCACTAGCAAAAATAAGTATAATTTTCCTTCCCAATAGAAAACTTGAATTTTCTATATAAAATTGGAAGGGAATAACAGAGTATGAAACAAGGGTGGGTAAAAAATTGTATACAGTAAGGGAACCGTAATCCATTGTAGCAAAGGACCTTGCTTTAACTTAGAACACGTATACTATGTGCGTACTCCCTCCAGCAAAACTCCTATTTAGAGATATTATTTTAGTGAAAAAATTTTGGGAACTACATAAGAATATGAATTTTTTCAAAAGAAAAAAAAATTGAATTTCAAGTTTTGCCACACTTAGATCTAGATCTTCAAAAATTGTACGGTATCTAATTAATCTTGAGACATTATTTTTTTCTAGTTTAGAGAGACTTTATTTTGGAATTTTTTTTATTGAGATTAATTTATGGGCATGTGTTATACCCCAAGGATTAAATTGATAGTATACTTCAACGGGTAAAAACCAAAGTGATTTTGATAAATTTCCCTACCTTTTATTTGTACTTATAAATGGATTCTATTGCCCAACTGTCATTATGCTACTCAAGCAGCATCTACTGTTGATTACGAGTAGCAGCGGTTGGTATTACTCTTAATTTTCTAATGAAAATAATTAAAAAAAAAAAAGGCCATTATTAGCGGACGGTAGATGTTGCCATGGGTCCGGTAGTGCATCGTGTGCAACATGGTGCCCAATGAAACACTACCGAAGGTTTTTTTACTGGATATATGGGGCATTGTCAGAATTGACCAGGATACTTTACGGCTACGGTGGCTTGCGGACCATGCATCGCTCGTGTATAGATTCTTATGCAATGCGTCAAAGAGATGTACTAAAAGAGAGAGGACGGTAGTGTATGGTTATTAGCCGGCCAAGTAGGTGGAGATGTACAAATACACGACACGTGCATCGCGTACAGAAATTTTTTTCAAATTGGATTAGTTTCCTTTGGACACTTCGAGAAGCTTCTGAGTGGCCTTTATTTATCCATACGCTACTATGAAAATAAATGCTTTAAAAATAGAAGGAAAATTAGGAATTGGACTTCTTTAAATTTCTTAACTTTTACTCATAATAAAATGTGTATTATAATAATGTCTACGTACGGCATAATTTACGGGCTTCATACAATATGGACATTTGTCAACTGTCCATCTTTGACAAGGGACACATTTGGTTGTGTGGGATAACACAGATCGAGTTTGTGTTTCTTTATATCTTAATTACATTTCTGACCGTCCATCCTTGACGTGTAGAGTCGACGCTTTTATATTTTAAGTATATAAAGAGGCGATTTAGTTTTAATACAAGGAATTAACAATTATTCTTGCCAGATTTCAAATATGGTGATTGTAAGTGTGTTATAGACCTGATTCAAAGTTACAAAGTTTTTTGTCAAACTTTGTGATACAGCTCATGATATCGAATTTGACATCTAATGATTAGTGTCACAAAATTCAATGGTCTCAAAATATATAATTCTTATATATAGGCCGATCAGATGATTACGGATGTCCGATAATACTTGAATTATATATATATATATATATATATGGAAAACTCTTCTCAACACCAATTGGCGAAAAATAAACAGTGATTTCGTCTACCCTCATCACCATCTAAACTTCATCGTACGATCACGATTGTTCGGTAGTGTTTTATTTTTTACTTTTTGTTTTCTATAAATCAGAATGATCTGAAATTTAGAGCATATGTATATCTTAATGAGGCACATTTAATAAAAATACGAAACAAATATTTCGTGAAATATAAATTAACTAAAATACTCTTATAAATTTTCAGGGTTGTTTTGGTCTATTTATATTTTATGAATTATCTTTTTATATTTTTATTAGATTCTTATATTTTTTATAAATACACATTCCAAATTTCAGATCATTCTGATTTGTACAAAAAAAATGGAAAT